CGGGCCCGAGCCCCACTTCCTTCCTTCCTTCCTTCCTGCACCCAACCACCGCTAATAAGTACCGTGCACAATACTGTGGGAGCAGTCGATGTTCGATGGCAGCACGGAAGAGTTCGGGTTATGTAACGCGCACCCACCTCATATCTACCGCGTTTCCACCGTTCACGTTCATGTTTTCTCAGTCCGTTACATCACGGGTGAGTTGATTTCGGCCCCGCAGTCGTGATGCTGTACTTGCTTGACTTACCTGGCCGGTAGGCTAAGAAAGTATAGCTCCTGACGATTACCGACGTCTCCACAACGTGCTGTACGTAGCTCTGCGGTCCGCACAATATCGGTTCGCGTCCCTTCATTTCGTGACACTGGCTGACAAGGAGCGCGGTGCACAGCAGGCAGATACCAGATATCACATAGTACGAAAATGGTGCAGATAAGAGAGACACCACCAAAATGCGCTCGTCAAGGCGAGAGCTCGGCGGCCCGAAAGGAAGAGCAGCAGTTCGATGCCCATCCTGAGGCCCCCCACGAGGTCGTCGTCGCTGCCGTGGCCGCCCAACCCAATTCTCATCACAAAACCAAGACTCTGCCATTCTTGCTACTTGCGGCCGTATCGTGCTATCTTTGCCTTTGTGGTGAATTTAGCACGATCAAGCTCGCAGGTGTCGGTGCGCAGGCCATCGCCCCCGTCTGTGTCGCGGAACAGGTACCGCTTCGAGATGTGCAAGAGGATCGATGTAGAGCGTCACTGCGACGGGTAGAGGAGGGGGTGTATGCGTACGATGAAGCGCGACAGGCCTACGACGACGTAGCGCGAAAGGTCTACGACGAGCAGCGCGAGGCCTACGAAAAGGCAGTGCTACAGGCCTACGACACGCAGCGCAAGGCCATCGATGGGCAGCACGAGGCCATGGAAAGGCAGCGTGAGGGTGTCGACGAGCAGCTCGAGGCCATCGACAAGGAGCGCGAGGCCTTTGACAGGGAGCGTAAGGCCATCGGCAGGGAGCGCAAGGCCATCGGCAGGGAGCGCAAGGCCATCGGCAAACAGCTCGAGGCCTTCGACAGGAAGCGCAAGGTCTTCGACAGGAAGCGCAAGGCCTTTGACAAGCAGTGTAAGGCCACAAAAAGCCAGCGTGAGGACGTCGACGAGCAGCTCAAGGCCATCGACAAGGTCCTTGAGGCCATGGAAAAGAAGCGTGAGAATGTCGACAAGCTGCTCGAGATGCTTGACAAGCAGCTCGAGGCCTCTGACAGGCAGCGCGATGCCTTCGGCAGGCAGCGCAAGGCGATGGAAAAGCAGCGCAAGGCCGTCGGCAAGCAGCTCGATGCCTTTGACAGGAAGCGCAAGACCGTCGACAGGCAGCGCAAGGCCTTTGACAAGCAGCTCGAGGCCTTCGACAGGCTGCGCGAGGCCATCGACAAGCAGCGCAAGGCCGTCACCGTGGATGGTTGACGAGAGGTGAGCACAAATTGCCGAACGTGACGAGAGCTTTGCTCAGATGGCTGGTTTTCGTTAGAGTGATGGCGCTCGTTCATGCTGGAGGTCTTTGAGAGATTGTTGGGCGATCTTGATCGTTTGTCTTGCATGCGTTGGTCTTTTTACCTCCCACTTTGGATTCACTGGGAATTGCATCGGCGTCGGTTGTGGTGAACCATTTGAGTCTGTGCATTATATGCACTCGTTCTGTAGACCACCAATTGAATTATTGGGCGATCTTGGTCGTTTGTCTTGCATGCGTTCGTCTTTTTGATATCACCAGCTTTGGATTCACTGGGAGTCGTGTCTGTGCATTATATGCACTCGTTCTGTAGACCACTGGTATGACATCGTCTCCGCTTTGACACTTCATATGCATCCAGATAAGCGAGCGGTACCGATGTCGGCGCAGAATACAGTATATAGAATGCGCAACACAACACTCCTAGACGCGACGCGAGGGCGTCCATCATCACGCATGCATATGGCATAACCGTGGCTCGGCCAACTCCGTGCTTCCTGCGTACAACAAGCACTCCTACTACCATACACACTCTATAGTGTCGAAGCCGTCGAAATTCGATGGCAGCGCGGCGGATCGCGAAAAAGGCAGGTTATATAGCACATACCCGCCTGACATATACCGCGCTCCCACCGTTCAACTTCCCTCAGCCCGTCCCACCACAGTTCAGCTGAGGGTAAGAAAGTACAGTTCACAACATCTACCGATGTCTTTCCAAACCATGGTGGAAGAAGCTCTACGGTCTGCACAATATCAATTCGCTGTCCTTCAATTCATGGCACTGGCTGACGAGGACCGCGGTGTACAGCAGATGCCACCAGGTACCAGGTACGAGAATGGTGCAGATCAGTGAGACGAAGCGCGATGTTGAAGACGAGCGCCGCGTCTGTGGCGAAGAGCAGCAGCTCAACGGCCACCTCGAGCCTCCTCCTCGCGAGGCCGTTGTCGCTGCCGCGGCCTCTCAGCCCATGCCAGGATCCCATAACAAAGTCAAGAATGCGCCATTATTCTTACTAGCGGCTATATTGTGGTGTCTTTGCATTTATGGCGCATTTAGCACAATGAAGCCTGCAAATGTCACTACGCAGGACCTCGTTCCTGTGTCCGCCCCGGCACATATACCCTTTCAAGATACGCAAAAAAAACAAATGGAAGCATTTCTGCAACAAGTAGAGGAGGAAATGCGCGCCATCAACGCAACGCGAGACGCCGTCGATGCAGCGCGACACGCCATCGATAAGGAACGCGAGACTATCGACAAGCAGCACGATATGATCGACAAGGAGCGCGAGGCCGTCGACAAGGAGCGCGAGGCCATCGATAAGCAGCGAGAGGCCGCCGCTGTGGCGCGTGTCCCCCACCTGCTGCACTGGGTCAAGGACAGCCACCCGTTCCTCCAAGGGCTGCTGATGCTCCTCGCGACACCGTTCATCATCGTGGGCAACATGCTGTGGGGCGCGGGCCTGCTTATAGAGGGTATCGGGAGGTTGTTGGTGTTGGGGCCGCGAGCGGCATATAGATGGTTGAGCGGAGGTGAGCGCGATCGTCGAATGCGATGAGAGCTAATCTCAGAAGTCTGGTTTTCGTTAGTGTGATGGCAGACGTTTCTGCTGCAGTTCATTCAGAAATTCTTGAGCGATCTTAGTCATTTTTCTTACGTGTAGGGTCTTCTTCGTATCGCCAGCTTTGGATTGGGATGGCAGTCTGTATATTGGATGCTCTCGTTCTGCTTTTTCAGCTGTATATGATGTTGCGCATTGTGCTAAATGTACTGCGTGCTGCATAGAGGATAAGTTACAGGGGAAAGCGTAGCGGGTCAACGAGGCTCTAGGCCAATTGAATATGTAGTATCATCTCGGCCTTGAGATCTTCAGACTTCGTACGCGTCCAGACAAACGACTGAGTTGCCATCGACATCGGTGCAGAATACAGTCGAACTGCGCAACACACCTAGACGCCAGGCCAGGGCGTCCATCACGCATGCCTGGCTCGGCCCCACTTCCTTCCTGCGCACCGCCACTACCGTGCACACACTACTGACGTCTCCAGACCCGCGTACTGTAAGTACCTCCGCGATCCACACAATGTCGGTTCGCTCGTTCGATTCGTTGTGCACAGTAACTGACGAGGACCGTGGTGCACCGCAGATTCCAAATACGAGATCATGGTGCAGATAAGACAGACACCGACGGAGGGTGACCAAGGCGAAAGCCCGACGGGCCAGAGGGAAGAACAGCAGCTTAATGGCCACCCGGAGGCTCCTGGCGAGGTCGTCGCCGTCGCTGCCGCGGCCTTTCAGCCCGAGCCCGAGCCCCGACCCAGCGCACAAGCCGACACCCCCACGCCCACCCCGACACAAACCCAAACCCAACCGCCAACCCAGCCTCAACCCACGCAAGACCAACAATGGCAAGCAGCACTCCACCAAGCAGAGGACGGAATGCGCGCCTACAACGCAGCCCGCCAAGCCGGCGACGCACAGGGCGAAGCCGCCGCCATAACGCACATCCCCACCCTCCTCCGCGCAGCCGGGGACCAGCACCCCGACCCGCAGGTCCAAGCCGATCTGTACGAGCGCGCGCGGCGGTTCGCGGAGGCGAGCCAGGAGGAGCGCGATGCGATGGTGCATCCGTTCTTGCAGGGACTTGGGCTCCTCGTCGCGACGCCGTTTTTGCTTGCGGGGGGCGTGCTGTTTGGGGTGGGGAAGCTTGTGCAGGGTGTGGGGAGCTTGTTGGCGAGCGGGCCGCAGGCGGCGTATCGGTGGTTTGGGAGAGGTGAGTGTGCGTTGTTTGGATGTGGTGATGGCAAGCGGCTGATCTCAGATGGATGGGTTTCGTTAGAACGGTGATGGCGGTCGTTCGTCTCAATCGTTTGTCTCGCCTGCATTGGTTTCGTTGATGTCACTAGCTTTGGATTAGGGCATCGCGTCGGCACGTATTGGTGCCAGCAAGATGCTATCATTTTGCTTCTTCAATTGTATATTATCCGTGTAAAAGTACCACTCCTGCTCAACGCACGGCTGCCAGACTGGTTCGGAACCGCTGTTCTCCTGTTGTGGGTCGAGGTCCCCGTATCACACATTCTCATCGAATACTGCTGTCAATCCCGAGACCCGAAGACGTCTAAGTTTACAGGCACATCATCCGGGTATGAACGCATGCGCAGAGCGAAACTTCCAAATATACGTGCCACCCATCAGCGAGTCGCGACGCACTATCGCCGCGATACCCGAGCTCGACAACGAAGCACAATGCACGGCTGCACACCCACCGGACCGGACGCGGGCCGTCAGAGCAGATCCACGCAAGCGCGCAAGCGGGGAGGCCCTCGCACAGAGATACGACACGACACGACATCTGCCCGCACCGTACATCCGCCAACGTACGAAGCCTCCAGCACAGCTCGCCCACACTCGCTACGCTCCACGCTCGTGGTCATGCCCGACGATTACGCCGATAGCAAAAGGCACGAACATGCCCAGAACGATGCAGAGCACGCGAGTCTTCCGCCCGACGTCCTCTGCGTCGCCGTGCCCCGAGACGGGCCTGAGGACCGTCGCGACGTACAGGAAGGTCCCGCCCTGCGAACGGGTTCGTGATGGCGCAAGAGCACGAGCGCAGCGTGCCACGTACCGATATGAGCAGGGCGACGCCGGGCCACCGGCCCTCGCTGCTTGTCCCGAAGAAGGAGAGCAGGACGTAGGATGCTAGCGCACCGAGGGGGGTTGACGCGCTGAAGAGGGCGAGGTGCTTTTTGCATTCCGAGCGCGGGAGGGACGTCGAGAGGAGTGAAGTCGTCAGAGCCAATGCCGTCGGTGCTGGAGGTGCGTGGTCCGCGGAAACGAAGCGGTGGCAGTGAGTTATGATGCGCATCGATCTGCAATTCCGCGAAATGCAGACGCACCTTTGTGTATCACCAGCGCGAAAAACACGACGAGGGATAGACTGGATGGTAGTGCCGATGCGGGGGCGTTTGGATCGGAGCCTGGGGCGGACAGCGCAGATGACCCGAGCGCGAGTCCGTCCGCGAGTGCGTGCATGACGAGCCCCAGAGTGAGCGGGTATGCGCGCTTCCTGCTCTCAGCGTCCTGAGCCTCCGGTCTCCGGTAGGGCGGTGCGTTGTCGCTGTTCGGAGCGCGAGCGTCTCCGACGGGGATGCCTTCCGCGCGCTCCAGCTCGCCGAGCTCGACGTCGAACTCGACTACGGTGTCGGCCGTGGAGGGCTTTGGCGTGTGGATAGGTGATGGAGGAAGGTGCGGAGACGGCGAGTCGTGCGAGTGGGGGGATAGAAGTTGCTCGACGACGAGCATGAACGTGAACCCTGTGAGGAGAGACAGGGCAACCGCGGACGTAGGAAATCCGGATGACGAATCGGCATGAGCGAGAGTCTCTGCTCCTCTTTGGTACGTTTTAGGTCATTAGGCCATAACATCTGACGAACGGACGAACTCACTCAGGGATGATGACTCCCAAAGCTGCACCGAGCAGCAGACCTGTGCCGAACGCGGACAGCTTCGCCAACGCATGTTCTGTTCATCATCATATGAATAGGCTGTGCGACCACGGAGCGAGCAACGTGCGCTGCTTACTGGAGAAGTTGAAGAACAAAGGAAGGACACCGATCCCGAAAGAGGCCGCACCGAGAAGGGCGGACATGAGGACCACCGCGAACAATCCAGACATTGTCGGTGGGAACGGGGATTAGTGATCCACTTGCTGTGTTGGCCGGTGAATCGTCCCCGCGGGATAGCTTCTGCTCGCGATGGTGGATGTAACGGCGAGCGAGTGCAGGTGCATGCTGCGTTTGCGTGTTGAGCGACGACGCTCAAGCGCGTTGGGAAGACGGGCCACGTGGAAGAATATGCTGACGTAATCAAAGAGTTCGTTTCAATGGTCCCGCCTGCGGTCGAGGCCAGGGAGAGCTGTGCAACTCGTGTCTTCGCTGAATACTCTGGAATCGTCGGCGTTGAAGCGAGAATTGGTGCATGTCCATGCGTTGGGAAGGTCGACGAGGCTCGGAAGTGAGCCGGAGATTGCTCTCGACGAAGATGGATGTGTTGCTCCTTCACCTCGGCCGAGCACTGCACTGGCCTCGTTGCCCCCAAGGCCCCACGCTGCCATCAAATCCTCGGCTTTCACTCCCCGCCCGTGCGGTCCCGGGATCGTGTTTTTTTTGGTGTCCTTCACAGCCGTCGCTCGGCAATCCACGACATATATAAGTTGGAGCTTTGCTGGCAGCCTTCCTTCCTCACCGCCAACTTTGGCTCACATCCCTATCCCCCTCCCATACCAAAAATAACAACCTTACTCGTCCGCATAATGTTTGCCTCCATCAAGTCGCTCTTCGTCCTCGGCTGCCTCGCCCTTTCTGCCTTTGCACAGAACATCGCCATCAGCGCACCAGCTGCGGGGGACACAGTAAGCGCGGGGAGCAACATCACCGTGCGGGTTGACAAGCCGGTGCGTCCTTTCCTTCTCGTCATCTCCAAGCGTCGTCGTGCTCATCGCTATGTAGGCCACCCTAACTGGCTCGACTGATGTCGCCATCGCCATCTGCCTCAAGTCGTGCGCAGGATACACGGGCGGTTGCGCCTCCTTCGACACGACAGAGGTCCTCGGTGATATCCTCTACACTGGCCCCTACGACCCAATATACGGCTCTGGCGACTGGTACCCATTCCAGAACTTTACTGTTCAGGTGCCAGCCGGCATGGAGTCCGGTGAGGCCTCTCTCAGTGTGACACACCTCGTTCTCGTAGGCGTAAGTACCTGCCCTCCAACGTATGCCGAACAACTGACGTTGACGCACGTTCGACGCAGGCTGGCCCAATGCCGATCATGCAGGTCGCAAATGAGACGATCATCATCGGGTAAAAGCATCCCAACTCCCTCATGATGCCTGTCGAACTTTAGCCCTCACGGACTACCCTCCCCATGAACGGGACTCTCTGTCAGTGTGAAATCCGGGACCTTTCTTGCATACCACTAGCTCTATGTAGTCACCCTAACCTCTCTGAACTCTCTTTGGACTCTGCCACGCCATACGCTACGTAGCATACCTGCTCGGGTATCATACACCCTTGTATATTACGAACAATACAAGCCGCAATGTTGTAATGTCTTTCTACCGATGCCTTCGCTATTGTTGTGACTCGAACATGCGTCGACATCCGTGCTACTCCTCGCGAACCTCCACGCACGTGAACCATGTTTCGATAATCTGTAGAAAGTTGGTCAAAAACAAGGATATAATCAAGGAAGCCAGAGATGCAAGGTTACCGACGATCCGTTGGCACAGGTTGGCACTGGACGCATGAGCTACCCGTGCACACCAAGGAACGTCTCCACACAAAAGAATGTCGTATGCTTTCATTCAGATTCGTCCGCCCATACTTGCACGTCCACATGACGGTGTACATTGACGTGAATCTGGCCATCAGCACCAAGAGCACCAGGTCGTACACTGTACACTCTCAGCATAACGAGCGACGATACCCGCCGGAATGGCGAAAGGGCTGCTGTGTCCGCCCTCGAAGGGTATGCTGTACAGTGCAACCAGCGCGTCCTTCATGACCTCTGGAGTTACAATATGCTTGAGGACGTGTCACAGGAAGGACGTGTCACAGTAAGGTCGAGGTCTCCGCAATCCATCTTCTCCGGGTTGTCATCTGGGAGTGCAATCAGCTCGTACTTCCGACGCGAGGTAGCAAGGCCGCTTTCAGAGATCGGTAGACATCAGGTGTTCGCGGAAAGACCGCGTCGTGCAGTATCTGGAACGTGTTCTTTCCCATGGCAGCAAGATTTTCCTCGCATGATCCGAGCGAAATTGAGCGTTGGGAGCAGGGGTGTCAGCCACAGCGGACAGCGGAGCTGAAAGTGCAATATCGGAGAATAACAACTTGCTTGCGAAAGACTTATCTTTTTCAACCTCCGATTTCGCTGCGCTCCAACACGCGTACAAGCATTCGCTCCTAATCACCACCACCTCGTCGTTGTCGCCTGTCTTGCAACATCGCTGAGCCCGTCATGCCTTCTACTGAAACATCCACACACCACACTGCAGGCATGAAGGCATTTATTCCCACTGCAAATGCACTGAAAATGTGTTCTAAAGTGTGACCTATGCAACACTATGCCCTAATTAGACAACTTTATTTCCCAAAAAGGCAGTCAATTACAATGTCGTGTCATTAAGTAACGGTCGCAAATGCTTTCATGTCTGCGGTGCCACCAGTCGCCTCAGTCCTCAGCTGTGCCTGATATCGAGCTAGCCTACATGATCCTGGACGAAGACGATGTCGTCGGTAACATCTGCATGATTCGCGTTGATAGCTCATGGAGTTTCGCGGAAGTTCGTCGCAAGATCTACGAGAAGGAGAAGTATATTTTCGAGCGTCTCAAGATCCCCCCCTCTGAAATTTCTATCTACACTGTGCGTTGCCCTCTCATCGTCGCAATGGCGCCACTCTGATCGAGCATTATTAGCCTGACCAACTGAACGTCTTCCGGAAGAGACCCTGCCCCATCGTGTGAAGACGAGTGTGGAGGGTTCGAAACCCATTGTCCCCTTGTATAAAGTCGGCACGATCTGTCATCAACTGAACCCGGATGACATGTCGATTCATCTTGTGCTCGTGGCGCGTCCTCTAGGTGAGTCGTTTCACAGACGGTGTCACGATACTAGCCTGACGGGAATACCCAACAGCTTACCCAATCATCCCCGCCAAACGCAGGCCTTCCACCACAGAGGACGAGGTGTTGAAGCGCATCAAGACACAGAAGATTGCACTAAATTCCCCGTCCAACTATGCCCATGCGTCTACGTTCGCGAGGCTGCAGACGATAGCTGAACATCGTGTGCTGAATGATCGCCCAGTGTCCGAGCCGGAGATTGCTCCTATTGCCCTTCTGTATGACGGCTTCGGCGTTTTGACGGATATGCTCGCCGCTGAGGAAAGCGAAAATGTCCACGCCGAGAAGGACGCGAAATTTTTCACACTTGTGCGTGATTTCGCGGATGCTATGTGCCTATACTACGCAGATGATCTAGCGCGGATGAACGCTGGGCTACGGTTTCTTCAGAAGATATTCAATGACGGCAGAGAATGCGATATCAACGATCCCAATCCCGATCCTGATTGCATATGTGTCAGGAGGGCTGATGCTGATGGCAACTCGAAAACGGACGGCAACTCAGTATGCGTCACAGGAGCTGCAGATCTTATGTTCAAATTCAAGAACGAGCAAGGGACCTCAGGTGATCCTGTGCCGGAGGGCGTGTCCTATATTGCTCATTTCCACCGGATGGCAGTCGAGGAGAGCAGTGTCAACGAAAAGTTGTATTCTGGGTGGAGGGTGCCTTCTCTCCTCGTTACAGTTGCTGGTGAGTCTCACGTAGAAATTGTTTGTGAGTGATGAACATGGTTCTGAAGAGCTACGTACAGGCGCAGTTATAACGTTTCATGCGGTAGTTGCTATGGGCAACTATCGGGTAGTACCTCTGACACCGCCAATGTGGCTGGTCAGCCCGACAGGGTCGAGCAATGATATGGTATACCGCAGAATGCTCATTCGCGCATTCAAGGTTGCGGTATTTGTCCGACAAAAGATCCGTGAAGATACTGCCAAGATGCGGGAGTTGGCCAGCAGAGATGGCCTTACTTCACTGTCGCTCAAAGAAATGTATCTCCCGAACATCATTAGCGTTACATCGACCACCGCTGGATCGCCGCCTCTCGGGACCAAGATCTTAGAAGTACTGTTATCGCGAGAAGACCGTCTTGTCTATTTCGCAAAGAGGTTGGATGCGGACCAAGAGTACATCATCATCAAAGTCACGCGGCGCTACACCAGAGAGCTGCATGAGTTTTGCGCAGAGAGAGGGCATGCGCCAAGGCTGCTCGGGTTCGATAGGGTCTCAGATGGGTGGAGTATTGTGGCGATGGAATACGTCCAAGGCCAGTCCTTGCTCGAAAGCCACGGATATCTGACAGAGTGGAGGGATGGTTTGAAAAAGGTCGTCGACGAGTTCCACAGCAAAGGACTGGTTCACGGTGACCTGTGAGATGTCAATCTCCTCATACCCGAATCGGACAAGACAAAGGTGATCATCATCGATTTCGACTGGGGAGGAAGAGCAGGAGAAGCCCGCTACCCCGACGTATGCCTTCATCCGGATATAGGTTTTACGGGAAGGCGGCCTTTGACGATCAGTGTTCAAGACGACAACCGCACCTTAGAGTGCGCTTTGGACAAACACCGTCACATGCGAAAGGCATAAGTTTCTTGCTGTTTATAAGTGGAAGGATGCTGTGGCAGTCTCATTCAGCATCCACTTGATCTGTATCTCTAGATGTAATAGTAGCGTCCTGTGCCGGTGCGGAAGGACAGGGACGAGGAGGCCGACCCTGAACAGCGGACGAAGACTCTCTACCACGGGTTGAGCATGATGCAGCAACACACACGCGTACAAGCGCATGACAACTGTCAGCACATATCTACCGAAATCCACAAAGCAGAGCAAACATATACTGGGATCAGGAAATGACACCCAACGATGATCGCAAGCAGCAAATGGACGGCCCACGTCGAGTTGTCGGTCCTCCACGCGACGGGGACGAGGTCTGTTGAGAGGATGATCATACCGGTGGCGATACAGATGCAAGTCAGCCACGGCATCCAGAACCGCTTCAGGATCTACTCAGAGGAGTCCACTTCCTCGATTTAGCGCTCACTGAATATTATACGAGAACAGGTGCGCAAGAATAGCCTGCGTAAGCGGTATTGAGAGACCACCGAAGAAGAAGAAGCTGCATCAAACACAAGGCCGTCAGCTCCAGCCCAACCAAGCCCACGAACAGCGGCACCGAGCACTCACAAGAACGGAATCCACTTGATGTTACCCCTGAAGGCCCTGAAGAGCACCAGCAAAAACACCATCACATCGGCACGGCAAGCGCACAGCGGCCACCGAACGCGTTCGCACACACCAGAGACTGCTCGCCGAGATGGTACTGCAGCAAAACGAAGCCGACGGTACTCCCACCTAAGCAGACAGTAGTTGACAAGAGTCACAAGACCAATCGTGATTGTGCACGCGATACCGTCTCTACGCCCACCACCGTCAGCACCTCACCCAAAAGAATAAGATAGTGCGGAATCAGCTCACAATACGAGAACACGGATCCCTTGATGAAGTCCGCACGATCTTCCATCGACTGAACCCTCATAACAATTTGGTTCGCCTTGTTCTAGTGCTGCCCCTGCAGAGGTATTGCCATACGTCACAGAGGTCGCTGCGTGGCCCGCCGGTACTATAGGGGAAAGTCCTATCTATCACTCTACAAGAGTCTGCCTACCAAGGAGCGACCTTACAGCACCCGAATCAATTCATCTATGTTGGCACTGCGAAAGGGTCCCGGGGAAAATTCTGATCAAGTTCACCCGCTCCTACTTTGTACAGCTGCATGACTTTTGCACCGCACGAGGTCATGCACCGAAGTTGCTAGGCTGCGGCGTTGTTCCCGGGGATTGGAAAGTTGTAGTAATGGAGTGGATCGACCAGGACGAAGAACTCGATCACGCTTCCGCGCACTTATCGACCTGGTCGAAGGACCTCAAGAAGCTGGTGAACGACTTCCATGCGCATAGGTGTGTGCACGGTGATCTTCGAGCGGCGAACTTGATTGTCTGCAAAACCAAACCGGAGCAGGTGCAACTCATCGACTTCGACTGGGCTGGAGATCTCAATTCGGGACAGGTTCATTTACAACTACAGTCCTCAACGAGGAACTGACGGATGGCGAAGACCCGAACGACCTGCTGATCACGAAGGAACGTGATGATCGTGTGCTTGCAAATACATTGAGCAAGCTGGAGCGATTCTCGAGCCATTAATAGATGACTTGGGCGAGGTTGGCGCAGCCGCGCCGGTTTCAAATGACGGTCCAATGTGATGCGGGACACTCACGCGAAGGTCGAAAGACATATTCCAAGGCAGTGATAGGACAATAGACTTTCAGGACAGGAGTGTATGTATCTGAACAGGTTACAATTTAGTGCGAAGTCGAATTCCCGCCACGTCAGTAGTGGGTCTTGTCGCCCTGCAGCTGCCAGAAGCTCACAAGCACCGGGGGCACGAGGGCATGATTCCGCCGGGATCATCGTGAACACATCATGGTCACAGTCACAATGACCTGTTGATGTTTCCGTCACACATTGCAACGGGATCATTTGTAAAGATACTGAACTGATCAACCAATTCGTCCAGAATGATACGCCAGCATTCATACACTGTGTGTTTCAAATGATCCACATGGCAACATTCTGCTATCAGTGAATGAAAATTTTAATTATGCTACAGATAAAACTGCAATGTTCGTCACACCAATAATATGGAATATTTGTGATAACATTATAAATGTTCCTTCGATGTGCCTGTTATGGCCAGATGAGGAACAACGTGGGATCATTGAGCTTGTTTTCAAAATGTGCTCAAAATGATCCCTGATGTGTCAGCGAAATGTCACGCAATTTACATCATGGCATCTTTCTCTTCACATTCAAAATGAAATTGTGATGCAGCCAGCATGTATACCATGAGGAATTCATAATGCAATTACAATGTGCTGTCTGGACACAGCCCGATGGCATGGCAGCATGCATTAAGACAAAAAACACGTTTCAATGCAAATAATCACAGCATGTTTTCAAGATGTTCCCAATCATGTGACAAGGGATCACACCTTAATGCGGCATAATCGGACCCAGATTCAATCCCAGATTCAACTTCAATCTTGCAGGGCCGTTAACGCTGGGGCACCTCGCACCTTCCGTAATCCTGCCTTCAGGAGATATTCCACCGAGGCAGCGCCGAAGAAGTCGAATACTGCTTTATTCGCAGGCCTAGCAGCACTCACTGCGGCCGGAGGCATTGGCTACTATTTATACGCTAGACAGACAGAAACGCGGCCCACTTGGCCGACCCGTCGCTCGTCGCTTCTCCCTCCTTCGACGAATCGCACCACACTTGCACTCGCATCCCAAATATAGATTCCATCTTGGTCCGAAGCAGAGCGATTCCTCGGCCTCCGTCGAGTCGTTAGGCCCTGGCTGAATTGCATCGACGAGCTGCCTGCGCGCCCTCTAGCGCTCCATCCAGGGCGCGTCCTCGTGGCCATGGTGTGAACGGCGATGCGCGTATTTCGCACGCTCGGGCTCGAATCCCGTCCAGCAGCGCAATCCGCTACTACTGTCCATCCTGGACTGATATTACGCCGCCATCTGTTTTTCGCGGTGCTCAAGCGTCGCATTCACGTCCGAAGTTGGTCTTTTTCGTGCTCGGCGTATAGGTGGCCCTAGCCTGCGACGGACTGAGTGCGTTGTGGCGTTCGACTGGTCGAATAGGCGAAAAGTCGAGTCGTTCTTCCCTTACGCGCGCACAGGCCGTCTTCTTTAGCGACGTGCTAACAGGTGGTGATAGACCTTCCCGATGAAAGTGACCGCGGGAGAAATGCTCGAGAGGGCGAACGTTGTCGATGTCTGGGGTGGGCGGGAACAAGCCGAGGATCGCATGGAAGACTCGGTCTCACTACTGTGCACGTCCTGACTGCAATGCGCCTCTCTGGCTGGAACCAAGTGTGTGCGATGGTGAAGACGATGAACGATCCGTGCTCGCTCCCGTTCTGGGCAGCGCGCGGTGCTCTCGCGCTTCGTTCTCTTTTGTGGGTGTGGACGATACGTGCAGCAGCCTGAGGCTAGCGTCACTCCAGATGGGGAGCAGTACTTCCGTGCTCAATCCATCGCGCGCAACTACTCCAGTGCATGTCCCCCATCTCACTCGTCAAGAACCCTCGGCGTGTCAGCATATCATCGTTCCTCCATCACTCACAGTCTACTACTGTACTGACTCTGGAAGATCTGGGATATCGCGTCGACGCATTTAGATAATCCCCGCAATGATGCACCTTGACGCGCTCACTTACTTTGATGGGCGTGCAAGCAAGGACGTCGAGCTGTTGAATTGGCTGATCGACGCCGACGCCGACCACGAGGCCCTTCCTACTCGTGGACGTGAATGGATCAATATTGCTCCTGGCGTGCCTATCAGCTGTACCTTGGCGCTCGACTTCGACGGTTCTTCGTGATGCGGCACAGCAAGTGGGTCAATGTACGCGAAGGATGAGTACTGAGTGTCTAGGGTGACACATCGCAATGACACTGTCACGCTAGTACATGTGAGTCCACCACGTTCTCTCTGCTCCGCCAGGAGGTTTCAGCTGATGGCGCGACCGCAGTCCCTTCACACATTGGACACTTCACCAGGGGGTGCATGTTGGTTCCTTGATTGTCTCGGTGAGTCGCGAGCGGCGTAGTCCCTCCCTTCCCTCGTGCCGTCCTTTCCTCCTTCTTTCGCCCGTATGCGTGCATCATAGTGCATAAGCCGTGCACAGGACGGTAGGCTCCACTGATACATGCGCCGAGAGTGATGAGCGTCGTCGTGTACTTCTACCGTTGTTTGCAAGTATGCAGACCGAGGAGTGATGTGAGCGTGAGCTGCTTCCTTTTCTTGGCCCCTCATGGAGCGGAATACCAGTGAGGACCATGCTACTGGATGGCAGTTGCTGGATGCGTATATACTATCGCCTGCGAGCCTGTCATCGTTCGACTGCAGCTGTTGAGGTGGTTCTAATGATGTACAATCAAATATCGACCAGTTTGGATCTTAATCACTGTAATTCATTGATATACACTTTGCGATTGCGATTATTCGAAAAAAAAGCACTGTGCGTCGTGCCGGGAACGCGACGACACACCAAATTCGACGTCGATGGTTAGTATTCCGTCCACTTTCCAATAAAAAAAGGATTCGCGAAGCATGATATTGACGATCCACAGTCGCGGTTACAGTGCGCACTTCAAACGCTGATCTGCCGCAACTGTAAGATGCATCAACGATAGGTCAGCAACACAAATGTCAGGGACACTCACTGGGAGGTATGTCTACTTCATTGTCATTCAGGTACCATGCTCCTGATGCAAGCGCATTAATCATAATTAAACCACAACCAAGATCAGCTGCTCACGGTCGCCTGTCATAGTTTTCTCATTGCATGTCTGCCCATCACCGAGCCAGTAGAATCGATTGTGAACGCCGTCGGCAGATTCGTAGTTGAAATCCTCCCAGCGCGGGTGCTCGAGAACGCGCAATCCATGCAATGACGAGCCTTGAAAGATATCAGCCACTGTTGAATGTGGATTGGAGGTGCTCTTACCTGGCCAGAGGCCCACAATCCGTCCATCTTCTGTACCCATCTTGTACCAAGATCTGCACTTCTCGCTGAAAACGGTCTGGAAGATGCACAAATGTAGACTTAGCGATCTCTGATAGCAACCTTTCTTGTTGATACGTACCTTCGGGAAATAGTTCTTCACACAGCGACGAAATCAATATCCCACTCCCTACAATTCATGCGGAAAAGTAACACACCTCCAAATACTCATCGAAATCCCTCACTGCTTCCTTCTTTACCTTGATACTCTTCAGCCTTTCTCTCTGCATCTTCTTCATTGCTGCAACCGCATATTCGACCTGGCGCTCCAGCAATATGAGCAGCGAGCCGGCAGCAAGTACCGAGTTTGGGCCGAATGCCATGAACCAGTTCGGAAATCCGTCTGTGCACATGGAGAGGTACGTCGAGGGATGCGGGGTCCATTTCTCTTGGATAGACAGCCCACCACGGCCAGTGATGGAGAAATCGAGATGGAAAGAAATGTCAAAGCCTGTGGAACAGAGCGTACAATCATTTAATCGTGAAAGACGGTCGAGGGAAAGACGCACCGGTTGCACATATGATGACGTCGACATCAATATGTTTCCCGTCAACTGTTTCGATGCCTCGCGGAGTGATGCGCCGGATATCTTTCGGAACAAAGGGCATTTGGGAACTAGCGATAACCGCAGCATTTTTGAGTTACCATTGTGGGTAATTGATAATCCTGACTGGGAATTTCTGTTTTCTTTTTGATTTTCGGATAACCGCCCGTGAAAATTTTCATCGGTGGAGCCGCGTCACCTCGCCATCGTCGCCTCTGCATCACCGCCGCCGTCCTCGCCACCTCTGCGTCACCTCTGCGTCACCGCCGCCGTCCTTGCCGCCTCTGCGTCACCGCCATCGTCACCGCCGCCGTCCTTGCCGCCTCTGCGTCACCATCGTCACCTCTGCTGCCCTTTTGTCAGGGGAGGGGGTTTTTGCAAAGGCACCACCGGGATAGTGTCAGAGTATGCCTCAGACCCCCGGTGTGGCTTCTCTTCGAGAGAAACCGCATGGACAAGTCATTGTATGCCTTTGACCTGTGCGGGCCAGCCAAAAAAAGCATTTCCCTCAAACCTGGTGCAAAGGATATGCCATCTCTCCCATCTCTTTTTGCATCACCCCTAGGCTACTTTCTCACCTGTGGACTCGCACATGTTCTTACAGGTGCGTTGATGCCCTCTTTGCTCTGGTCGCTCCCAAGCTCACTTGCTATCAGTGTTCCCGATGGCCTTGGTCTGAACTCACCAGTCTTACCGGTCACTCATCCTCCACCCACCGCATCCCGCAGGAGTTTGTCGCGTAGGATAAAGGTCACGTGACTTACGTCTGGCTCCAGATCATTTCTCCGCCGCCCATGCATCGTGCTCTCCACAGCACAGCACAGTCTCCACACCATCCTGCACTGTTTGCCCGCCGCATCCCACAGGTGCTTGAAGAGGGTGGAGTTGCTCACGTTGGACGAAGGTCACGTGACTTGCACCTCGATTCAGATATTCCTTCATGCACCGCGCGGTCCCCATTGCACCTCCCATCTGCTGCGCCACACCACTTCTTGTTCCCTGTCAGAGATTGGTGCATGCGTCAGTGTGTTCATCCGGCTCACATTCCTCGTGCTTGCCTCTGCATCAAGTGCTCCCTCTGCCCACATGGCGAGAACTTGAACGAGCCAAGTGAGGCGGTGGATGGCTCTACATATTTGGCCAGCGAGGACAGCATGCACAAATCTCATCAACCTGCGTGACACGTTTAAAAACCTTGCTAGGAGCATTCTCACAGTGCACACCCAGCCGCTCGAGGAGGACATTGGTGGATTCCACTCATACGCTGAGCCGTTTCCTGGACAAGGAGAGGGCAGCTCATCATGGGATGGCTCGATAGCGCACAAGAACTTATGTCCTTGCGATCTATGCTCAGAACCTTTGCGCTACACCATACGCGTTCATCACTGTCAAGTCTGACGTGAGGTGATTTATCGCGTACGTTATCCTCACACAATACCTCCAAGTATCCAGGTCCAGGTGTCAATCGCCTGCATGAGACCCCAAAATCGGGAAGCACTAGCGCACCGCAATCATTATCACAGGTCATCTAGAACCGAAAGCATGCATACAGTGATCCAAAATCCACGGTTTCTTCCATAACTTCTTCCTCATGTTCTCCGTGAGTTCCTGACGTGCCTTTGTCTGTCGCGTGCTACCTCGCAGAGTGACACAGTGGTCGGACTAGATAGTAGGGGCATCAATTGACCCCGTACGTGCAGATGACAATCATCAGAGCATACTTGAAGCGCAGATTCCAATTCATGCCGGAATTGCTTGTACACCTCTTCGTCCTTGAATGCCTCCTTGTCCGCCTGACTGAATTCAACTGCTTTGATGTCAGTGTAAGACCCGACATAACTATGAACAAAAATAACCTACAGTTCTCAGCATCCGTGTCACGCTGAAGGAGCTCTCCCAGCTTCTGTCGAGTGAATGGCGGCGAAACCCAAGTCTTCCCACGCACGAACTGAACCATCCTACCGACGTGCGGTTGTAGCGCTGCAACAGTTTGAATCACACTCGAGCCCTGCCAGACATGCACTTTCCAGCACAGTAGCCGTTATGCAAAAGTGAATACTGACCGAGCCGATGACGCCGACTTTCTTCGTTCTCCACTGCCAGTCTTCAACCGCTTTCTGCCACGTGCGCTCGCCGACGTCAAAGTTGACGCTGACGAACCAGCATGGCCTGCAAGTCGGCAGACAGAACTTGAGCAAGCTTCTGGAGGAGTCCGAGAAGGTGCATCACACGTCTACGTATATCGTCGCCACTGTGAAGGCTGATCGTATCATATCTCCACCGTAGGAACACGTCGACGAGGTATGCATTAACAGTTCGCTCCTTAGCCCGTCCATTGACTTGTATGTCCTCGCAGGATCACTCCGTCACCCATCTCGACGACGCGTCAATGAGCTCGTCCGAGTCGGAAGGTAAGCTGTGCGCGGACCGGCCTGCAGAGCTCGCGAACGCCCTCGCGCAAGTGAAACTCACTCCTGTTCCTCAGTGCGTATTACGCGAACCCGAGCTGCTCACGATCATTGCTTACCATAATGCACAGTGCCTGGGCACTGGAGTGCACTGGCATTTGGCCTATTCGGGCCAGGCGCAGGCGTGCCGGCCGTAGCAATGCTCGGACGGGTGTATTGTTTCTTTGACTGCTCCAAGGGGGCCCGCTGATGGATTTCAGCCAGTTTCATGCATATGAAGGCCACAAATTGTCGACGGTCGTATACCAAAGCTGGGTGTGCAGAATGTCATCAGTGCGTGGCCGTTGTGGCAGCCCCAGCATTTCTCCATCCGTGGACCATGGTTTGAGCTGTCGCCATTGATTGCAGTCCACGAATGCCGCCGATGCTTTGAATCGCGTCTTCTGAGCGTGCGGTGGCAGCGAGCTGATATATGCGCTTCTATGCATGCAGTCGTCGCAATTCATGACCACCTGGCAATCCTAATCACGACCCGATCTCTCAATGCGTTATTCGGGCCCCTCGTCGACCCAGATCACTCACGATTCATGCCATTGTCAGACGCGTACTCTATATCTGATTAGTCGTTCTAGACGTGTTAGACTCGGCTAGGTCACTATTCACTTGTCTTAAGTTCCTGAATCAATAGCAACTCAGGTTTGAGAAGTAGGTTCAATAAGCCGCGTGCGGTCTCCGAAGGATGCCACCACGACTCGCTTCGAAAGAAATTGGATAATCATACATAGGGCCAACGCAATACGCGTTGATTCCGGTAACTGTGAATTGTTCGTATTGATGCAGAAGATGTACCATGACTGAGTTTCATCCAGCGTCTCAAACAGCGTGTCTAATGCACTGCAGAACTCGCCCGCTATGCAAGGAGGGCCATTCGCGAAGACGGCGGTTTCCAAAGGCTCCTCATTGTCCAGGTTTTTCTCGTCGATGACGTCCTCCTCGAGTGAAGGAAGCAGAATGGCAGCACGGGCGTTCAGAAAATTGAGAGTCCGAGACAGTGTTCGTCATGCCTGCTGACCCAAGAAGCTGCGCCGGCGGGTTCTTCCATCAGTGCCCGACGATGTTGTGCTTGCAGCATCATTGACATTAAGGCACAGGCTTGGATGCTCATGATATATTTCGATTATATGAGAAACCAGGTGCGACAGACGTCTCGTAACAGTGATCATCATCATATCACCCTGCTAGAGTCTCCCAGAATTCAATGGGCCCATCATCCTCTCCACCTTCACCTTCCGCCTCCTCATCAGAATCCGGCATCGGAGAGACCAGGTCCAGCATCTGCATATTCATGAAGGAGTGAGAGTTTAATGGGCCCAAAAATTGGCACCATATGTCACGCACCCGATCAAGAGCTAGCACATGTACGCAGGATCTTGATATTCCAGGGACTATCATAGGAGTCTTGGCAAAGTGAGATATCACCCTTGTAGGCCGTATCACTATGACATCTGCCAGATATGAATCATAGCATAACCGTCCGCCTGCGTGCAGAAAGCGGCGGTATGGATCATGGACAAGATCGGTCTCCGTTAGCTCCTGGAGGCACTCTACAATGAGAAATGATTCCTGGATCTCGTGGCCTTGAGTATCATGCCTCGTATGCGTGAAGATCTGTTTGACCCTTCCTGCCCGTGAAACCCTGATCTGGGGATGGGTAAAGACGACGTTACTGTCATTCGGCGACGCTGAGTAGGGGCGATATGTTACACCATTGATGAATATCTTCTTGCATGAGATTACCGAGTTGCGAATGTGTACGCGGCCTGGAACAATGCGCAGCGACCGCACATCGACATATATTTCCTGTCCGAGTTCCAAATTCAGCAGATGCAACAATGCTTCGAATTCTGCATCTGATATGGTCATCGCCTTTGTGCGCTTTCCATGCACTCCAAGTGGAGATGCATTGATCATGACCGAGTCTCGCAGCCTGGTGCCCCTGCGATCCTCATGATACACAGCATCATATACTCCGACCAACTCCTCTGTGATTTGACGAACACCATCCCGTTGTATTAGGCCCCGTAAATTAGATGCACGACATGCATGGTTCAAGTATGTCAGTTCGAGTTCTCCTGCACAGGTTTTAAATGAAATTAGTAAAAGCGTGGTGAGTTGACAAGTGTATCACAACTCACCAAACTTGCCACTCGTATTTTGCCTCATGAGGAGGTAGTTCATCCGTTCGGAGAAGAATGTGCGTATTGAGTGAACTGGGCCAAATGCTTGAAGAAATTCACCGACATGTACGGCAACATGATGGTTGGGTTTGATTTCAGCTTCCTTGTACAGCTCCTTCAAGCTTCGTAAATATCGCATCAATGACGCATTATAGACGAGGATGTGTTCATGCGATGTTTCCCGCATGCTGCAAACTATCACAGCTGTTAGCAGATCCATATAATTCTCCAGCATCTTCTGTTTTCTTCCCTGCTCATGTCCCCATAGCCGCACCAATGTCACTGGAAGATGGATAGAACAGGCTGAAAACCATTGATCCGCAGATAGTTTCCCCCTCTGTTCGCTGCCGATATTGGACGGTGCAGGGCTAATCCATGAAGGTAGCTGAGTCCTTTTCATATCCTCGTGAACCTGTGTGAGCGTGTCGCGGCCCAAAACTACACTAGAAGCGTCCCTATTGCTCGATTTACGATGGTGTGTGGACGCTGTGAGCTGGTCAATGATATGTGAGTGGAACTTGTGGTAGCCGCCGATCACTCACCATCGTGGCTGTCGCAGATGTTGACTGTTGGAGCAGTATGCATACTCAGTGTGAGGTGACGTATTGGAGAGAGTACTCACTCCTGCCCCCACTGGGGTTGGGGGAGACGTGCTATTTTCCTAACAGAATTTGAGCAAGGAAAATCGATAAAAGCTGAGTCTCTCGCTTACATTCTTGCTTGGCCCGGCATGGAGTTGCTTTTTTGGTGGTGGAATACATCATCTACACAATGCTACCTGAAAGAGCAAGCTAAATACCTACCCATTCCACCAACCGGCCAGCAAGCACAGCTTTAACTCCAGAAGTATCTAAATCCCGCGCGGTACACATGGCAACTAATACCGCCTTTGGAGATCGAGCGATCGTTTTCGGTTGACTACCTCTCTTCAGACTCTGTTCTGCTTTCTTAATCTGCACGTCTATAGGGGATGGCGATGTCGATTTGTGATTCTCGTCAGAAGGATTTGGAGCGTTAGTGCTCTCAGCGATGCCGTAGCCAGTTTGCACTCGCTGCAAGTAATGCTGTAAGCAAAGCTCCCCGTCACAATGATGTACTGTGTGCCTCACCCATCTTACTAGATTGTCCAGCAACTGCTTCTTCTTCTTTGCCCGCTGAAGATCGTGCTCGAAGCACAGGTGCCAAAGCACATTTTTCCTGCATCCAGCTAGTTCCTTGACAGTACCATTGTACAGGCGCTGCATGCCTTCATTCAACTCTACATCCGATGGGCGAGGAGGTGTCTTGTAGTCGTGAACGTAGGTGCCGTCGCCATCCTCGATATCAACATTCATTCCCCAGATTTCCCTGCAATGTGTTTTGAGCAAACCTAAGTAATGGTTGTGCATCGTGTCGATGATAGTGAATGCGATAGGATCCCAATATGGCAAACGGAGCAACTCAGACCAACGAACTCCATGTTTTCTGAAAATACTGGCACGCGCTTCCGCGTTCGTAGCCGCTTGCCATTCCTCCGCATGCCTGCGATGCTCCCTGGGGTCGCGCTTCGGCCATGTGCTCGGATTAAGGTTTTCGATTTGGTCAAGTCTCAATTTGCAGAAACTGCAAAAGTACGTAGAACTGTGAGCGCCATGACCGGACACCTGTCGTGCTGCTGGAAGATCACAGATCAACGGTATGAGTGCACATCGTACAAGCCGTCCCAAGGGATATGCAGCTGTGCGAGTATAGAACACTCCGGCGTTCCAAAACGTGAGAAGGTCATCGACGAGGGGTCTCAAGAAGTGATTGATCTGCTCCAGGGATGACTTTGTTGGCCCAGGAATGATGCCCACGAGGAAAGTGTTCTCGGGCAAATAACGCAGATGAGGAGGCAAGTTCAGGCACACCATATATATTCCTGTGACGGAGCTCTTCTGCTTCCCGATCTTCATATGAAAAGGGTTGAATCCATCGACAGACAGGCTGAATAAATATCTTCCCTCGTTGGAAGGGGCATCCACAAACGGTCGTATGCCATCCGGGCCCTTGAACGTCTGGAACACCCGTGCATCCCAGATGTCTGCCTGTTTATGCTTTGGGCCTGCCTGGGCGCGCTCGTTGGCACTATCCATAGCTTTCTCGATCCCATCACGGGAGAGTAGTCGCGCCATCCATTCCTTCATGTCTTGATATAGAAAGACCTTACTGGGGAATGCAAACTGTTTCCCCCTGATTGTCCGAGTGCGCCACAACTTGGCTCCACATGGGTTGCTTTCAGAGGTTTCTTGATGAGTGCAAGACTGGGGGCAAGATTGGCGTTCATGGAGTGCAAAGCAGTTCGGACAACAGGCATAGGCATGTGTACGTGGATTGAGGTCGAAGCGGTGGAGTATAGTGCGAATGTCTTTCGATAGCTCCTCCAAGATTGTGTGGTGCTCGTCAGTGGACCTGCCCCTTTCGTGAGTCAATGAGAGTCGCACAATAGTTCGTAGGCCGGCCAACAGTATTTTGCTTCCTCTACGGGGAAGCCTTTGCAGTAGGCTCATAATAAGAGCGACAATGCAGTATGCGAAAACGAGTGGGCTCATGTGACGATCGTAGATGTTGAAATAAGGCGCTGTAGAATGTATTTATGAGCACGGGAGTGCATTACGATTCGATACAGGACTCACTGGTGTCAACATGAATGCTGGTTTTTGTAGCAAAAGCAGGAGCAGCGGCAACAGGCATTCGCTGTCTATTCCATTCCTGTGATCGGTAATGCTCCAACCAACTTAACTCTTGATGGAGACAGTCGACGAGCTCTGTCTGTCGATGGTTGAGTTGACTGTCATTATGAAGTTGATGATCGGCTTGCAGGCCAGCAATCGTAGATATGATCCAGTTCTCATGTTCGAGAAAAGGAAGATTACTTCTGCAATCGACATCCAATAGACAGGGCCCAGCATTGGCACGCGTGATCTGATCTGCCCTTCTTGGAACGCATTCGTCTGCACCCATTGGGTTCAAAATAAACGTGAGGGGTGATGAGAAGCTGAATAAAGCGATAGTATGACGAATATATGTTGTCCAAAACTCCATATCAGCCCTCGAATGAGCGATGCGAGGATCATCAATCGCTTCCTGGACAGGAGGTATTATGGAATGAGCCGGAGAGCTTGCTGATGAGGAGAATGTCGTCCTGGCCGACTGAAAAGCATCAAGAGATGAAGAATGATACTCGTTGTTGCTCGCTGGTGCTGAATCTACTTGCTCGCGCGCCGTCGACACCGTATTGAGCACTTGATCTGTGGGGCATACGTTGAGAGGTTGGCCATACTCATCTAATCCTTCAGCCTTGAGGCGATCGCGAGACGTTTGCTGCTGAGCTCGCCTGCGCTCAGTTCTTCGCAAATGCGGTGCGTCTACAACATTTCCGATGGGTTACGTCAGCTCAATTAGAGATAATAGACTTAGAAACCGTCTGACCACGGGAAGATAGGCCGGAAGCACCTAATGCACCAACCTCTGTTCCATCTGATCTCAATGTAAGAGACAAATGACGGAGAAAGGCTTATGATGGTGATTGTCGTCACGTACTGGATTGATTGTTCATACTATAGTGAAAGCAACATGCAAGCTGCATCAGCAGATATCATATACGATTGAATTAACGCCCATTTGTACCTCACGATCCGCGTTGAAGATTGTCGTCACGTACTGGATTGATTGTTCATACTATAGTGAAAGCAACATGCAAGCTGCATCAGCAGATATCATATACGATTGAATTAACGCCCATTTGTACCTCACGATCCGCGTTGAACCGATGAACTACTCACAAAGCCTACGGCCAAGACGCCAGGTCGAACAGAGTGGAGGTTGCGGTGTGCACAGAGGATACTGCAGCGGTCCTACAAGTCTGCCAATTTATGTGAGGTACTATGGATAGTGGCGACGATCAAATATGTAGGAGAGTACTGGATGAGCAAGGCAGCAATTCGGATACTCACGGTCGGATACTCACGGTCGGATACTCACGGTCGGATACTCACGGCCAACGCAGACATGATATTCAGAAACTGTTTGATTTGGTTAGTATGCGTACAACGTATATGACCAACAAAAAGCGGGTACTCTTGCTACGGTCTGCATTTACAATTCTGGACTCTATTCTGCATCGTCGTGCAACTTTCGCATTAGACAGCCTCGCCCAAACCCTCCCCCCCCCCCGTAACACCACGAAGTAACGGTTAGTCTTGCCGCTGAGCTCTGCCTGGCGCTTCAGAGCCTGCGGCGCATCGTGCGGGTCCATAATCAGCTCGACAAGCTGAAACTTCTCCGCCGCGGCGAACTTCGGGTCGTCCAGCAGCTTCGACACCTCCGTCTTTGTGGAGATCTCGTATGACTGACAGGTCTTGCCCTCCTCACTGCCAAGAATCTCGAGCAGTTTCGTCCATCTCCTGTGAAATGGATGAGAATATCGGGACGAATAGCACGAACGGGGTATTTACTCACCTGTTTGAGATGTCGTTGTACTTGCACTGCATACTGCGCAGGTTACCTCTCGATCGTTTACCCACTGTGTTGAGCACGAAAATGATAGGCTTCATGTGTGAGCGGAGCATCACGGACAGCTCCTGCACAGTGAGTTGCCTGGAAAGCATTCATCAGTAACAGAAACATTGAGGTCTGGAAGAGTCTGAGACACACAGACTGCCACCACCAACAAACAGGATCGTCCTCGCCTTGTCCTGCGAGGGCACAGCCCAGCGTCACACCGACCGTTCACTCGATCGAACCCCGCACGATCTGGCTGATGAACATCGCATCCGACGGGAATGGCACCTCGAGCACACCAAAGCTAGACGTGCCCGTCTCTGCAACGATGATATCCTTCAGACGGAAGAATTCACCCATCCGCAGTCACAGCCAGGACTGCGTAATATCTTCGTTGTCCTCCTTCGGACAAAGGTACTTGAAATACGGCACCTGGAGCAATAAAGCACCCTTTTTCATGGGCCGCAACCATTCAGTAAGCTTAGGTAGAAGATGCTTCATGCCAATGCCTGGGAACCCAGCAAACTGCACTGTAGTGCTCGCGGAGTGCAGCTAAACGTGTGCCACGCAATCATATTAGAACTGTGGATAGTGAGGGGAACGAACGACGGACCTCGATGGTCCGGCCCGCAGGGATATGGTATGTAAAGTAACCAGTGTTGAAGTCGCTCTTGAGCGCACCAAATGAGAGGATGAATTTCGCATTCCCGACCTTTTCCTTGATCTCTGGGTAGCTGATCAAACGACATAGATTGTTCAACGCCAATAAATCCTTGAGATCAGAAACCTAGACGGAGAAGACATACTCCTCTGTATCGCTCGTACTGCTCATAGATAGCGACCTTGCCCATTGGCGCAGCGTACGCGGGGAATCCCGTCCGCTTGACTAGCTCAAGCAGCTTCCTTCTTCACGTCACGTCTGATCGCGCAGGCGTCAACAAAGCCTCGTCGACCAGCCTGACAATCTTGTCCTGTGCGAATGCCTCAACGTCAGGATCGTTTGCGAGTAGCTCGGCACGGAGAGGCGTCTTCAAGCGATACGCAGGAATGCGTTCGTATGTGAGGTCGGTCGAAAGCATAAGGTACACGGGACGGGCCTATAAAGAGCGCACATGGTGAATACTCCTGCCCAAAATCAAGGGGTGCATGCATACGTGGACGACGCATTCAGTCAAGACACGATCGATCTTGGCAGCAGCCGTCAGTTTGGACTCGAGGCTTGTTGCGGCAATGGTGAACTGCCCGGCAGCGCGGAAGTATGCATCATCACTATGCTCGTCTGTCAACTCCCGATTCCTTGACCAAGGAGGAAGTACACACACCGTCCATCACCGAGAGTATGGAGAAGCATTGGCTTGTTCTTCTGCTGCGAAGTACTCGGTACACGGACGATGTGAAGGACGGAACATGCTCAGAGAATGCTAAAAGGCTCATCAATGCGATGAACGAACCTAATTCACAGAACACTCACCTCCGGCAATAGTATAAGTCGTGCTGAGCTCTCCGACACCAAAGCTGCTGAAATGGGACTGTAAGACTGACCTCATGACATCATCAGATGGGGACTTAAAGTGATCACACTGATGCTGGTCTCCTCCACTCGCGCATAGCCATCGGTGGCATATCCGGCATTCAGCTCGTTGCTAAACAACAATTGAGTCGATATACGCGCCGAATTTAAGGGATAGAGCGCACCAGTTGCCGACCCAATCAGTCTTTGGGTGATCCTCTACAAAGTCATCTAGAGATGGTCAGCGATGGCAATCGATAACCAACTGCCATGGACATTACCATTGCAAGTCTAAAGCCAATCTCCTGGCCTTCACCCGCTGCCGTCCTGTGCATTCGCGATGACCGCATCATTCTCTTCGCCGCCGCGTCCGAAGTTGTGCGGCTGGAAGTTGCCCGAGACCTCGTCAAAGCCATACCGGTAGTACAGGTTATGCACGAGGTTGCTCGTGTAGAAAAGCTGCGTAACCGTCGCATTGACGTACTTCTTTGCCTCGCCAAGTGCATCCGTGCGGTCCGTCTGCGTCGGCACGTACTTGTAGTCAAACGCCAGATAGGCACCTGCGTCCGGGCGGTAGTTCAGCTCCCATGCGTTACGCCCTCCCAGTTCTCGTGCGCAAACACGTTGTTGCCTCAAGTCGTCGTCGTGTTGCGGAGCTTCTCGCCGTTCGGGCCGCTCTTCACCTTGTTCGCGATCGACTGCGGGTCGTTCGCGAACGGCAAAGAGTGCCAGCCGATAGGGCTCGCGAGCACATCGTAGTTCTCCTTCTGGATCGACCGGTTGCCCACAGAAGGGCCATTAATGCCCCACGCAAACACGTTGTACGTCGCGTACTCCGGAGATGATAGTAGCTTAGGTACCGGAATAGGAGAATCGGATGCTCAGTCGACAACAGAAACGAGGCGATGCGGCGACGCAGCTGACACCGCAGTCTCGAACCAGTTGTCCGGCATCTCCACCTCGAACTGCACGTGACGTTAGCAATTCGATTCCTAGAATGCGATCGTGCAGCGCTTACCTTCCAGACGAACTCGAGTGCAGTGGATTCGCCTTGCGGGACCTGCACGAATGCGAGCCTGGCTTTGACGGGGCTGACGGCATCGGGGACGTTGTCAATCAACACGGTAATTGAACCCTGGCCGCCGACAAACTGCATCTCCCATGTAGGCGCCATCTTAGCCAAGAAAGGCGCAGGGTTCTCCATGATGTCTTGCGCGAGTGACGCATTGGGTGTCGTGGCGATCATGAACTGAAGGAGCGCCTGCGTCGGATCGCTGAGCACATCCACGTCCAGCGCGGCGAAAAAGCGGTGATGCGCCATGAAATACAGAGTGCTGACATGCGCGCAATTCCAGTCGAAGAAGTACGGAAGGTCGCCGAGGGCGTTCTCGATGGAATGTGTCGCATCCGCCAAAGTTGTTGAGCAAGAAGCTCCTCAGCCTGCACAGCGCGCGTCTCGAGCTCGGACCACAGACCGGCGCAATGCTCGGAGTGGGCGTCTGCCAGGCCTCTAACCGAAGCAGCAAGAAATGGATCCTCCTCCGCGCCACGGTAGAATTGAAAGCAGGTTAGCAGAGCGCTCGCACGTAGATACGTTATCGCCACTCACCGAGTCGCCATAGGAGAGCATGACACCGTCCTTCACGTTGACGTTAATATCGCCATCCGCGACTTTGACACCGTGCGAGTACTGGCAAACGTACACGTGGGAGATACCGGTGTTCTTGTCAGTGTACGAGTCCTTGCGGATGACGAAGGAGCTGGCCGCAGCAGTATCGCGGGTGAGGTCCTCGACGAAGCGCTGGACCACGTCGTATGGGTCGGTAGCCTCACCGAGGAGGCTGGAGAGCGAGTAGCGAGGTTCCATGCGGTAGACGGAATGTGGGAGTACTGGTCCGAAACCGAGCGTCTTGCGACGGCGGACGACGTTGTTGCCGCTGGCAGTCGGATGCGCAAATGCGCAAGCAAGGCCGAGGGCAGCAAGCGAGGCGACTAGCAGGCCGCATGACGAGTACGTTGATAATGAGTAAGTGTGGTGGGCAACTCCTCGCGCGCACACGGAGGAGGAGAGACCGACGGACAAGAGCGTGCGCGGCCTTCTCATCGGCCGCGGAACAGCGGACGCTCGTTATGGTAACCGCCCCTTCCCTCCACGTGTCTCCGTCGTGGGTGGCTGTGGCTGAGAGTGGCTCTTTCCGGGTTGTTTCTATCACACCGCCCGGCCACAAACGAGTACCTGTCAATGCTCAGCGCTCAACTATCGCCCCCACACGACCGCATCTGCGCGAGCCCGGTCTCTGTGTACACCTCGTGCTGATCAGCTCGTGTGACATGGCAACTATGCATTGGCTCAACCGTCCTTGATATGCTCTGGAGTGTCAGCGCGTCAGGCTTTTCGCCAACTCCGCACATAGAGATACATAGCAGGATCTATCACGCGCGGAGGGATTCGGGGGAAAGTGAGTGCATGCCCAGCTCGTCCGAATTGCCAATCCTTTTGTCCGTCACATTTCGAAACTATGCAGTCTTTGCGAGCTGATCCGGCAACGCAGCTGTGCCATTCTCTGAGGCGACCATGTTGGCAATCGTAAGAGAAGCTGCAGCAGCCGCGGCCCGTCTTGATGTGGGAGCGACGGTGACATTGATGGAGGCGAGTGTAGCCGCATCGACTCTCAGCGCTGAGACCTGGTCCATGGCAGCGCAACGCGCGCGCTGTAGTAATTGACTGGCTTTGACTCTCGAGCAGGGCTGCACTGTGACACGGTGACGAAGCCATGATACTTTGGACCTCAACGTTCTCTGCCGTCTTGTTTCCGGTACCACGCTCGTAGTGCAACTCTCTGGTTCAGGCGACTACGCGCTTGTATTATAAATAAATGGTCTATCTGTCAAACTCACTCCGACTGTCATCGGCTAGGACTTCTTGTTCTCAGAGCCATACAACAGCGAGCATGCCGCTTCTGCAATGTGCAGCACAACCATTTAGCTCGAGGAGCCTTTTCTGGCTGACAATTCGAGGAAATGATGTTTTATTGACTATCATCGCCTTGATGGCGAGCACCGCGAATGGCCTTCCTCATGTTCATAGGCCCCTCAAATCACGGATGCCGCATATCAACATGCGCCAGTTGCTGACGAAGGCGCTGCCGGCGCGCTGGCTCGTGTACCCACTTCGGTAGCATTGTTGTTCGTCATTGACTGCATCATGAACGAATGAAGGGTCACCGGACCAGTGGACGCGCTGGATGCTGGATTGGTGGATGCATTGAGCAGAAGAGCTGGCTGCGGGACCATCTGTAGAGGTACCCGGCAAGACGTTGGCTTCTCGAGCTTGAATTCATGCCCGTCTGTGGGTGCCCAAAAATGCGGAGGATCGACGCTATTTGTATAGCAAGTTAGATGAGGTCTATGCCGAAAGATGAATTAGAATTAACATAATGATACTATATGAAGGAGATCAAAAAGATCCTCCAGGGTCTAGCCGGCCTGAAGATCGTCGGCGCGGATATTGTCGAGGTCACACCAGGTAAGTGCCTGTTGCGTATGTTGACTTCGAATCCCAGTTCAATAGCACTTATCGTGTGGAGGATACAACACGCAGAGTTAGTGTAATGAAATTATCTTTGGCTATGAGCGATCACTTACAAATCATTTTTCCAGACGAGATCACACATATTACCGGTGCGAACATCGGATGGGAGATGCTCGCTTTAATGGCGAAGACTCCGCTGGTTGCCTAAAGTTGTATATAGTACAGATATTATAGATGCGGATGATTATACATACACGGTGCAGAGCATACTCAACAGACTGTCGGCCAGAGGAAATTCTCGAGCGGTATACTAAGAAGCGTCATGCAAACACGGCCAGTAGCGTTGGTCCCACGAGCTCTGTGACATGCATAGTGGTCTTGTTGAGGCTCTCGTAGATAGTAGCTGCTAATTTTGCTCGAGCTGGGTCATGCCGGATAGCGCGGGTAGGGGGATGTTTCGCGAACAACATGGACGGTGCCGGTGAGGCACCTCGGAGGACGTACCGGCGCCTAACATGGTAACGCGCGCTAATGACGGCTAGAGCCACGTGTTGTGGCCTGTGGCGGTGAAACGGTGTTATGGATAATAGATATGACACCTCATTTCTCGACGTGGGACATCAATCACTTTCCGCACGATGGCGGCGGCAATACCGTTGCTAGTATGAAATCAACTCCTCGTTGGATCCTATCTCATTTCCTTCTGCCGGTAATCATTAATCTTCCCTGGTCCTCTTTGGCCGTATCTGCATCCTGTGCGTCTTCTCTCGTGCTGTCCGCCTTTTCCTTGCATGCTATCGGCCGGGGTCCTAATGTAAGTCTTCATCTTAGGAACTAACATTCACTTGAAAGAGGCGGCATCAAAGACGTATCTCGACCGGGTGCAGTACAATTTCCCCTTGTGACAATGGATGGGTATAGATATCCCACTTCATTGTGGAAAAAACTCCAGTCATGGCAAGTGTCGCCCGCAGTCAGTACATACGCATCAATGAAAGCCGACACTGTCGTGCATTGCACGAACAGGCCGCCTGCATCACTTCGCCCCGTCTGTCCTCCAATCACTCGTTAGCTATTAACTGTGGACAGCATCATCTTGCCTACTTCGCGAGCATCCACCAGGGCTAGCAGCTGCCACACTGCATCCAGCTCACCAGCAAACAGTATCCGCGCCAACGTCGACCTCGACGATATCCGCGGTGCGCGAATCATCCACAGATCTCTCCACCGCTCGGATATCAGTCCGTTCGTTCTCTCCAAAAAAAGGCATTATCCCGGATTAGCCGCACACTACCCAACAAGGCAAGGCAAGACACGACAACGAGAGCTAAGACCCTGAGGCCTGGACCTGGGCCTTCACGGAAACCCTACTCAATGAAATCTCAGTGTCAACGCGCGTTTTCTTGGCAGGAGACGATCGAAAAAGCGCGTCATCTTACCTCTTCCACGCTCGGATCGGATCTTACATTGTTCCCACCATCCGTTGATGTAGACGTGGTCACTATCCGTCAAGGCACGAATGGACAAACGTCAAACACTCTGGATCCGAACAGTCGACTCATCTATGTACGTACGAGGTGCGCTACGTAACACTACACGCCTCTCTGTACGTCGTTACGCGACGTAAGGAACAAATGAAACAACGAACGTCTTCATCTCGTACTTCTCCCCCGGGGGGGGGGCTTGCGCTTATCCTCCAGCCTGTCCTACTCATTCATAACCCCTGAATATTGAATACGGAATCCCTGGAAATGCCTCTATGCCTACGAACTTCGTCCATCTGCGGGTACCTTGGTATGCCTGCACCCCGCTGTCCCCGTGTCAACTCGGACAAGTCACTACCATCGACGGCAAGCGAAAATTTACTCAATGGACCCCAAGCGCACCAGTCGATGCAGAGCCTCGCTCTCACATACGCGCAGGTTGTTGGAGCCCTACACTCTGACCACGGAAATGGGAAATCACACTCGTGCGCATGGTCTCGTCCTTACATGTCGGCGAACATGGACACACTTATTTTCGCCAAGTTTTGGTGGTGTTCGCAGTTTGCGTCTGAGCACATATTTGATCGCATCGCGTCGCATTGTCGTCAAGCGAACCTTGATATTCAGGCAGAAGCAAGCAGCCGCACCGTGGTAGGATGTATATCAACACTCAAGCCTCTCGACGAACCACACGATCAGTCGGGATGCAGAGCGCGGGAGCCGTTGACTGATGCGTCTCGCCCCTTTATCCAGACAAGCATGCCCAAACGGCGCCCAGCGATTATAATCATAGCGCTATCCGTGCATGGCCCGCCGCGCACCCCCAGCTGGCTCTGACGAGACGAGCACCCTGCACGAAACGGTGCGCGTTTGTCACGGACGACGCGTGAGCCGCGCACATCGCTCATCTCATGTGGGTCTTAGTCTTTTCTTGCGTCCTTCCTTATGGGCATGTTCTTCTGCAGGCGATTACCATTGTATGGGCGGGTATCTTGCAAGGGTCTCGACATCAGAGCAGGACGCGTCGACGCGGCGTCAGGCCGGCGCACCCGTCCCTCCTGCTCGAGCTGCAGCGTAATGACTCAACCTAGGCAGCCATGCGTCTTCCCGACTGCCCGTCGCGCAGAGAGATGCCTGCGCTGACTTGAAGATGAGAACGAACAAAGCGGCCTCGGATGCTGACCGCACGGACTATTCTGCACATGTGCACATATCACGACGACTTTGTGAACTATGAGCTAACCTCGAGTACATACAATATATGTTAACTTACGATAGATATGATAAGAGCCCACGATAGTACAATCAAAGGAGCGAATAAGGCTCTCAATCCTCGAGCAATGTGGGGGAGGACAAGAGCAGACTTGACCTGGCGCCAGCACTCACACCTCAGCACTCAGAACTCAATACGCCATCCCAGTATACGCAATCTCGGTCGGGAGACCCGTCGTCGGCGAGGCCGCCCACTTCTGCTCGTTTCGCGTGGATGGCGAGGAGCCGCTAATCGGGCGGAGGTGCAGGTCGGCGCCGAGTTCGCTCGTAAACCCGTTACACCGTAGGCTATTGCGTGCATTGAACCTGACAACGCAACATCGTCTGAATCAGCAACGACATTCAGCCATACCCCACGGGAAACGTACATGGCCATGAACGAGTTCACGTAGACTGCGACAGCCGATGATGGATGTCAGTCGATGCGTGGGTGAGCCTTTCCGGGGGAGGCACACTCACGCTTCTTGACCATGAACTCGACACTCAGCACGGCGTACGTATGTGGGAGCGCTGCCATCTACCGATCCGGTCAAAATATGATTCCGTATCACAAAACTCTGTGCGCAAACGCTCACCATCGCCAGCGCCGTCAACGAACACAGGCTGTACAGATCCAGCGTAAGCCAATCTGGTGCACGCGCCGCACTTCTGGAGGATCCGACCTGGTAATGATCCCAGTGTTCACCGTGAACAACATCAGTACCGAGATTGTCGAGTCCATCCTGCGCAATCACAGATGCAAACAACAGTAAGTAGAACTCGCCACCGTCAACAAACCGGAAGATGCGTACTTGGAATGGCCTGTGCGGCAGCGCCGCAGGAGGTAACAGAGAGCGGACGCGATGATCACCTCTATGCACGTCGCCGCGCCCAACGGGAAGTACGTCACCCATTGAGTGGATATTCAGTCAGCTGATGGCAGACGATGCAAAGACTGGACGCTCACCCTTGCTGCGAGGAGGTCAGTGTATTCATGGAAGCGGATGCTGCAGGCGCGTGATCGACAGGCGGTGGTGAGATACGGAGGCGCGCTTACATCTCAAAGCAGAGTGCTATACAACTGCAATGAGACGTCAGACGAAACGCGCGGTGACAGAGATACACACACTGTTCACTGCGCCTATTCTCAGCAGAACGGACAATCACCATGGTCAAGCCGCACGCTTCACCTCGATATCGACGACGAGCACATACCGTAGCCTAGAATGACGATGACGGTCTAAGGCACGGTTCAGTGACATGTAGGCTCGTACAAACACGAGCCACGTACGACTGCGACGCGGAGGAACTTGAGGAACGCTGAAAGGTGGCTGTCTGCCATGCTGACTAGCCCGGTGGCGCGCACCAAGAGCATGGATGGGTAGATCGCATCGATAGCCTGCATCAGTATCATAGCATTGATAGATAATGAGAATGATTCATACGTTTCCATACCCGCGCGGTGTATAGCCTAATGATACAGACGATGTCAATGTTCGACCTTGCAAAAAGCATGCATGAGAATGTCTACTCACGAATGCACCGAGATCACGACGATCGCCTGCGCAAATTCCGAGTTACATCTGCAGAAGATGATCACACAGTCAACGCACATTTACAACAATTTGTGCCTACGTTTCGTAGCTGTCAGTCTTCGAATGATCTCTCTCTCTCTTCAGAAAAAAAGAGGACACTTACTTTGAACGTCCATACAATGACTGTAAGTTCTAAAGGATTAAAATAATTGGTGATTAGGTACTAGACCATGTGTACGACGAATATCAAGTGAACCGCATCTAAAAGCCTGCACCGAGTAGCGTCAACATTCGCGCAGACGGAACGACTAATGAATCTCACCAAAGCCAGCAGACAGCGATCTTGCTCCACACTCCGTCACTCGAGTACCTTTGGAAGTAAATAAACGCCTGCAAATTGGTCACCCCGAACAATCTGAAGGGGTTTCAGCGCCTCAGCTTGCGTAAGATAATCGAGAAAACTCACACGGCGGACACGAAGGCTCCGATGAACACGGCTCCGTACGTGGCATCGAGCTCGCCCATGGCGCCACGGAAACAATGGTCGGCTAGGCACACAACAGTGAAAGACAGAATCTGGTGAGCCACGACGAACTCTGCGTCGATATATGTAATCTCCGCATGGGAAGATGTCTTTGATGAACAAGTCAATAACGTGGCTTCCACAGTTCACATCAATGATATATGACATCGACGAGAAAAACTTCACACATACGGTGACAGTTCATGTAACGACGCTGTATTTTTTTCCTGCAATTTGCGGGGTGCAGCATGAGCGGCGTCGAACCAGGGGCACCTGATGTGTGCGACACGAGGGGGAGCACATGTCTCGCAGGAGGACTAGGCAAGGCAAGGAGCATTCTGTGAGTGACAGCGTAGACACGGTCTGTGTTTGATACACTTTGACTGATGGTCGTCAGGCCCCACATTTCATTGTCGGAGACGTCGTCGCGCCTGTCAATCGGTGTATTGATAATGTTCTAACAATCGCTGCTTGTTTGGAGCTTACGAAGGGACCCTCTGAGTCTGGCGATGCGGATATCGTCGATTCGGAGCGACGCCCAAATCCATGGCCGCTATTCACGCACCGCCCACCACGCCTCTTCAGCTGCGCCTAGCGAGACAAGCACTCTGCAGAAAATGATGCGACTTCGTCACGGACGACGCGCGCTACGACGACTATGTACGAACAAACGAGCGAGCAAGGTCACTATGCATACTCGAACGATGCGAGGGGAAGGGGTAAGAGCAGACTTGACCCAGCGCCAGCGCCAGCGCTCGTGCCTCACCACTTCATACACTATCCAGATGTGCGCAACCTCCGTTGGGAGACCAGTCATCGGCGAGGCCGCCTACTTCTGCCCATTTTTATGTGGACCGCCAGGAGCTGCTCATCGAGCGTAGGCGTTTCCGTGAGGGATATTGCGCGCATTGAACCTGACAACGCAATATCGTCTGCATTAGCGATGCCATTCAGCCATACCCCACAGGAAACGTACATGGCCATAAACACGTTCACGTAGACCGCGACAGTGACGATGAATTTCAATCGATGCATGCATGAGCTTTGTCGGTGGGAGGGGCACTCACGGTGCGTGACGAGGAAATTGGTTATCATCTCGAACGCATCGGTCAGCGCTGCCGGCTAACGATCCAGTCAAATTATGATTCCGGATCACAAGTATGTGCATGAAATTTCACCATCGCCATCAACGAGTACAGCCTGTACGATACATAATAAGTCGATGTGACGCATGCGCCCGCATTCCTGTTCAAACTTACATCGCGACGATGCCGGTGCTAATCGTGAACAGCATCAGCACCGAAATCGTCGAGTCCGTGCTGTGCAATCACAAATGCACAACAACAGTGAGCAGAACTTGGCAATTTTTCGACAAATCGGAAGGTGCGCACTTCAAGTAGCCCGTGCGGCAGCGCGATAGGACGTAGCAGAGTGTGGACGCGATGATCGCGACGATACACGTCGCCACGACCAGTGGAAAGTACGTCGCCCGCTGAACATAGAGTCAGCCCACAGCAGAAAACGAAAAGGCTGGACGCTCACCCTCGTGGCGAGGAGGTCAGTGCCTTACTGAAAACGGACGCTGCAGCACGTGAGCGACAGACGATGGTGGGATACGGACGTACGCTTACATGTCATAGCAGAATACTGTTCAGTTGCGTTCAGATGTCATGCAAAAGCGCGATGACATAAACGCACTCACTAATCATTACGCCTGGTCATGGCATAGCAGATAATCACCATGGTCAAGCATCCGCTTCACCTCAATGTTGACAGTGAGTACATACCGTAGCCTAGAATGACAATGACGGCCTGAAGCACGTCTCAGTGACGTGCAGGCTGGAGAAAACATGGGACACTTACGACTGTGATGCGGACGAACTTGAGGAATGCTGGAGGCGGCTGTGCACCATGCTGAATGCCACACTGACTAACGAGGTGGTACGCATCAAGAGTGGAGATTGATAGATCGTGTAGGCCTGCATCAGTATCATAATTGGTAGACAATGAGAGCGATACACACGTTTCCATACCTGCACGGTGTATGGCCTAGTGATACCGACAGTGTCAATGTTCGGCCTTGCAAACAGCATGTATGAGAAGTCCACTCACGAATGCACTGGAATTACGACGATTGCCTGCGCGGATTCCGAGTCACATTCGCAGAAGATGTTCGCGCGAAGAGCTTACATTTACCATGGTTCCTGGAGTCTTGTTCTTGATGTCGGTACGTATCGCGCGTCTTTTGATGATGTCCACTGTTTACTCATAGGTTGCTCCGCACAGTGCGGTCCACCACAAGTTGGCTGTATCACAGTACAAGGAGATGGTATCGAGATCGTTATGCAATGATCACTGTCAGCTCCTCGATGGACTCCTCGTACAGATCGGGGGACTTCCCCCGCCAAAGATCCAAGACAGCGGAGGCAGGAGGGTTCCGTCACAGTGAAAATCCCGTATGGGTGCAGTGGGGGAAAACGGGTTGCAGCAAGGGTGTGACAGCACGGGCTCTTGTCCGGAGCGACAGATCAGGGCAGATCGTGGCACAGCGGTGCAACCTAAATGAGAATGTCGGCAATTGTCTTGGCATTGCGCCCATCGTCGGTGCACGACATCGGTGCGTCGGTCATATGAGCAGCGTCGGCGCGCATCGACATGGGCTCAATGACGCGTCGATGTCGGGCACACCACTTTGTACTCTTCGTGTCACTTATATAAGAGATATCGAGCAAGTTGGTTTTGGAAACCCATCTTTCCTTCCGACCTCCACCATCTCCCTCCTCACACCACCAGCCTGTCCTCTTGTACCTCCTTGCCTTTCGTACCTCCCCACGTGAAAGTAAGTGATCATGTTATTGTCATCTGGACCGTGTCGTGCTAACTTCTTACAATTTAGGATTTGAGTGATTTGCACTAGATTGGAATCGAGTAAGGTCGGGAAAGTGTTCCGGTACGTCCATCGCCTCAACTAAGCTCGTATACAAATACTGACTAGTAACCATTCTATGAGCAGTTACCTGCGGCTCGGTGTTCGGTGCAGCGGGCGGCTCGGCGGACGCAGCAGATAAAGAGGGAGGGCCAATATATGCGCGTTCCATAGTGACTTGCCATACTATAGTTTTGATGTAATGAAATCATATCTATTTATTTATTACTGCAATTCATTGAGCGGCGGATCCACGCAGAATGAGGGCAAGCGCGGTGTGCCGTTCTCGCTCGACGTGCCCATATCTCTCTCGATCCACCCCACTGAAACAGTCCGTATTTGTCGTGCAAGGCAGGACAGAATGGGGCGCTTACGATGTTCGAATTCGCCTCAATTTGCCTCACTCCGCCCATACGGGATTTTGACTGGGGTTCCATAGCCATATGCTGTCAAGCAAACCCCGAGCATGACAGCGAGTGTGGAGAACGCGATTTGGCGTCAGCTTCAGCATCTCGACAAAGTTAACATGCTCCCTGCCAAAACTCGACGATCACGTGAAAATGATGTCATTTCACGGGACCGCTCCTCTGGGTTGTGTGTGGCGTGAAATGCACTTTTTTTTTTGCTTTGCTTCGTCCCTGGGGTCTTCAATGGGTCTGTCTTACCTCGTCTGAGAATGCACTGCAGTAATGGGCGAGATGTCCTTCCGTTAAATAGCACTCTCATAAACCGTGAGTGACTTTCAGCTCCTGGTGAGATTTCAGCTGGCTGAACCGTGCCACAGTCATGAGGCCATGTGGCCATGTCGTGTACGGTCAAGCTTGTCAAGCCGGCTAAGTTTTGCATTGAATGCGATGTAAAGGTCGGTAATAAGGACATCATCGAGTTGTCATGCTAAAGTGAGGCTTCCCATTTAAGAACCATCCGTATATATCAAATGACCGCTGATAGGCACGGGATACACAGCGGGCGGGCTTGCGGAGACTTCCAAGAAGGGAGTCGCATTCCAAGGATGAAACACGTTCACCTACATCACTGGTATCAATGTTCTTCCTGATTACTTCCTACTGAACGAACGTTCTTCGAGTAATTGCCGCAAGTTGGCTCGACAGTCATGCAAGCAAATGATTCTTATGCTATTGTGAGACGAACAGTCCATGCGAAGATTTACAACTGTGGTGACCGGTCTACATCATCTTCCAAACAATGCCAACAATCTGCACGTGAATGATGCAAAGTCCGCGGGTGAGGGATAATGTGGATGATGTAGGTCTATCTTTTTCAAGCGCTGCAGATGAATGGGCAAAGACAATGCACACCTAACCTGTGTATGGCAAGCAACATGCGGAAACGCCAAGGTCTCTTGTTTAGCTCTGCGGATTCAACGCGTAAGTCGTTGGGTGGGTTAATGTTTATGTCTGGGGCGTCTCTGATGTTTTCTCTTGGGCATGCTCCGTGTTCCCACGTGCTGCGTTCTGCGCTAAAACAATTATTGCCACGTAATCCGACCCGAGATGTGTGTCTACTCCATCCATTATAGAGTGATCGATTGTGACCGATTGTCACAGGTTAGATCGGATAGATCGTGCCCTCATGTCCCTTCCCCTATCCACCACCACTCTATTCACCACCACTCCTCTCATCATGTCCAACCGGAAAGTCTTTGTAAGATCAAGCCACCAGAACCTACCATTTTGAGTAATGTGCTCACCATGCTGGCAGTTTGATATCACCGTCGACGGCAGGCCCCTCGGGCGTATCATCTTCAAGCTATATGACGATGTTGTCCCGAGGACAGCCAGGAACTTCCGCGAGCTAGCCACTGCCCAGCACGGGTTCGGCTATAAGGGCTCTACCTTTCATCGTATCATTCCCAATTTCATGCTCCAGGGTGGTGATTTCACTAGTGTACGTACGAGATCGAGATCGCAAATGATTCGCTGGAATTAATTGTCATCACATCGCAGGGCGACGGCACGGGCGGAAAGTCCATCTATGGCGAGACATTCAACGGTAAGTCGCTCGTTCGATTTCGATTGGCCAATGCTGCCTATGCATCATGCGGCTGCTAGATGAAAACTTCAGGATCAAGCACACCAAGCCTGGTATGCTCTCGATGGCGAACGCCGGAGCGAACACCAACGGCTCGCAGTTTTTTATCACCACAGTCATCACCTCGTGGCTCGACAGCAAGCATGTCGTTTTCGGTATTTTATCATTTGATTAGTGCCAGGGCATTTATCTGATCTTCCTGTCCAGGCGAGGTTGTTGAGGGCTACGAAACTGTTGTGAAGAAGATCGAGTCGCTGGGCTCCAGTTCTGGTACAGCCATTGCGAAGATCAACATTGCTAACAGTGGTGTTGTTTAAACTGTTGTGGTGGCTTTGAGATGACGGCTTGTGGATATGGCGCCGCCAGAGATGCAGAAATGATGAAAAGAAAGCAATTATGTCTGGCCAGTGGAGGTTATGCACCTCTGTGTGATAGTAGAAATTCAGAACTATCCTCGACGTCATCGGATATTCGTGAAGAGTTAAATGTTTGAGGTATCAATGTGATGCCTGCGAGCATGTGAAGATGCTGGGTGTCATGAAGAGCCGTGTGAGAGAACAGCGGATGTGTGGATCCGTGAGAGAATGGCAGACGAACTCCCGATAGCATCTTTCAGGTCCATGTAAAGCCTGCAGTCCTGACATCTCATCCATTGCTGCAGGTGTCACTGCCGATTTCACTGCCAACAGAGCAGTCATTCCCGTGGTACGTGGTATAGTTTTCAGTCCTCCTATGCCACAATAGTTCTCACCATGATATTCAGATGTTTATCAATATCAACGACGATGTGCTTGCCGAAATCTTCACCTATCTGTCAACCACTGAAGCTGTTCGTTTATCTCTTACATCCAAGCGCATCCATCCCCTAGCAATACGTCAGGTCTATCATACCGTAATCATCCGACACCTCAAACAAGTCAAGGCAGTGTGCTGGATGCTACTCCGAGAAAATGCTCACCGCTTAACATACGTTCGAGAGTTCAGTGTTCATTCTGCCGCTCTGAGTGCGGTAGAACAAGACCATCTTTCTCAAATTGTGGAAGTGCTTGGACACCCGTTTGCTTCTAGGATCAGATGCTTGAAGCTGGGTATGATCGAGCGGATGGTGAAAAGGGAGCCACGTCTCATTGGCATCGTGTCTGCGTTACCACAGCTGGTCAGACTAGAACTCAGTCATGCTGGCAAAGACTCCTTGCTCATGTTGCAAGGATTGCACACCAGACCCCGTGCTTTACACCTGCAGAGTGTGGTCGCTTCTCATCCAGGCAGCCATACACACCTCCTGTTCTCTGATACTTCGGCCACTGTGTCATCTCAGATAGCTAGCCCTGGACATCCCTCATCGCACCTACAGTGGCCAGAACTTCACTATCTATACATTTCAGAGTGCAACATACCCATGGCCTCATTTGCCTCGACATTTCCAAACGTGCGACGATTGCGACTAGAAGCAGTGACCTCTTCCCTGCCGTGGAAAGATGCCAGTGTTTGCTGGCCACGATTGGAGTTCCTCGACATGGGTAACGTTGCCTATCATCACCCTTGGATCATCACTTCCTCAGTCCGGCATCTGACTCTCAATATGGTTGGTGCGGTTAATTCAGCAAAGCCTGCGTTGTTTGTGATCAAGAATACAGCACCCATTGTGCTGTCATTGAAGTTGGGCAAGCAGCTGGGGGCTGGATTTTGGAGGAAATTAGCCCACAATGCTACAAGGTTGCGGTATCTCATCCTCATCTTCGGTCTTGATGAGACACAGTCTAGCCAAGAATTCACTAAATGGCTCAATGTGTGGAAGGTCTGTAAGCTCAGTCTTATCAAATGTTTTGACGTTAACACCTCCTTTGTCAGATGGTATTACCCACTCTTTTGAGCATGTCCGCCATTCACTGCATTCGATTACGAATTGTGATCGCAGATCATGCCTCCCGATCTGTCCTGGCAGATTGGCCTAATTGTCTGGTGAGGGCAATGCCGAATCTGCGATACGTTGCTGTGGAGACTCTGGACGACGCATACCATTGGGAATGGTTTCGTGATTGGTATGATGGATATGAAGCCAAGGCTTCGTGGTGGCAGGTGGCCGACAAAAGAATGGAGAGAACTGAGAGGACGCTCACTCCTGTCTCAATCGAGATTGGTGAGCGTGTGGATGCATATCTGAGGTCAGCTGAGTTTGAAGGCACCGTTGACTGCACCAGTTTGTAACCATTGCACCACCCCACACCTCTTTCTGACTTCCCCCTCCTATCTCAGCCAGTCTTCATCTGTTTGACGTTGATGACGTATTCTGAGCACGCCCGAGGTGTTGTCCCTCCCACTGTGAGCCAGCACCATCGTATCGCCATGGTCATACACTGTTATCTACCATTGACTTGTTCATCCTATTCTCATGCAGATCACTTGCGAGCGAAGTAGATAACTATGTAACATACATCACAGTCTGAGAGAGATACCATCAATTTGTCGAAATCTTCGTCCATTCCAGACCCATTCTGTAAACTGCACGGTAAGGCATTTCTTTACGTAGCAAAAACGACGTTTCCGTAGCGAGTCAGGATACATACAAGGATTGACATGGACAATACTACCGTGCATACATGTTATGCATGTCTCATGACTGGTGATCACGAGAGGATCACGGAAGTGTCTCAAGGACTCGAACAGCCATTATTTCAGAGACGATGATCAATCCATCAGCTATCATTCCGCTGCCGGGCATCAGCTGTACACATCATGCATTCGACTCAGATACATGTACAAGATATGAATGAGAAGGACTTGAACGGCCACTAATTGGACGGAGCACGGTATGGCACGCGAACCATATGTAGAGGTCCTAAGAGCAGAGGGTTGATCATATATAGCCAAAGAACGATATGCTCCACTACTGCGTGGACGTTCTCAAGCTTGGGTGGACATGAGATCTAGGAAGATTAAGAGAAGCAGATGATGGCATCTCACCCTTGCTTTGGTAGATGATGGGAACGGCGTCGGTCAGCGCTTCTCACACGACATCTCAGACAATCCGTGAGACCAGGCCAGTAGTTTATGCACATATCATCATGGGAGTAGATGATTGAGATGGCATCGGCGATATCCTCTGGTATCAATGTTAGTGAGGGTTAGAAATCGGTTCAAAGCTTGTTGCTTACCGACGCGCTGGTAGATTAAAGGAAGCATGTCAGTCACAGCTTCTGCAACGATACTCAGCACCACAAGACAAGTCATTGCTGTAAAAGACTATGTACCGTCACGTTGATAGATGATCGGGAGAGTGTCACTGATAGGTTCTATCTCACATGTCAGGAAAGATGGCTTCTAAAGCAACGAGTTGGTAATCGCAGTATCGATGACAGCTCTTGCTGACAGATACTTACCCTCGCGTTGGTAGATGATAGGAAGAGTATCGGTGACGGCCTCTGAAGAAACAAGTCAGCAGTAGCGGTATCAGTCTTGAAGATGATGCGTACCTTCACGCTGGTAAATAATGGGAATAGTGTTGGTGATAGTGTCGGTGATGGCGTCTGACGGGATAGTTAGTAGACATAATGTCATCGCAGCAGGTGATACGTGCCTTCCCACTGGTAAAGAATGGGAATGGCGTCGATGCCCTCTAGACAATTTATGAGAACGAAGGCAATTTTATGGCCGACATATCCGTTACTTCGCACTGGTAGATGATGGGAAGAGTATCTGTGACTGAGTCTAATAATGTGGTGAACCGGGATATCACAACTCATGTGGAGAAGTTCTCACCTTCGCGCTGGTAGATACCTACCGTCTCGCTGATAAATGATAGGGACAGCATCTGTCACATTCTCCTTTGCAATCGGTCCCTCAATATGCATCGTTTCTTAAGCGTATCATAACAGCTGACTTACCACGACGTTGGTACGTGATCCAAGATCGCATCCGTGAGAGGCTCGCCTACCGTGGATACTATGTCCTTTTCATAAGAAGAGTACCTGCGACCTGCTCGTCCGCACGAACATTATCATTAATCTATCGAATGTCTTGAGCTACCAACTAATGCTCACCCAGTGCGCTGCCATAAGCGGTAGGCAATGCGTTCACCGCGATCGATACAAATAACAGAAGAGCCGCGAATGTGAGAGTGAGCTGCATCATGCAAGTGGTCTTGAAGGTACGAGCTGTTATTCAAGTGAGCGAGGAGTGGTGAACAAGTCGTCGAATACTGGCTGTCAAAGTCGGTGTCTTATGAACTTGTGTGTGTGTTCATGCTCTCCACCGCATGCACTCACCAACAGGACTACTGACCATGGCTGGCCTACAGATTAGCCCAAATGAGACAGAAAGTGCCATCTGCACACAATGCCGCCAATCCTGCTTTCGGATACCATATCATAAGGGGGATACAGAACACGAAACGACTGATAGCGGGGGCCGATTTGGCTGTCGACGTCGCCGTGTAGTTAGAAGCTGCATTTAGGCACCTGAACCAGAAGAACCAAGACACTCACAGTCGATTTTGACTTTCTGGCCTGGAGTTGGCAAAACGTAGTATGTGCTTCCTGAGGTGCGACTCCCACGCTCACTTTCATCGTCGCTGGGTGACGAGTCGTACGATGGCCGTGAGCGCGGACGCGGATTTGCTGGCACATATGATGCTCGTCGCAGGGGTGCTAGCATCGCAGCTTACGCTACGGCCGCTGCTGTAGCTTCTGCCATACAGAACTAGTGCAGGCTCCTCAGCGGTAGCTGGGGAACAGTGGATGG